AGCAGGAATTTGGCAGGAGACAGTCGTTCTCTATGAGCACTAAAAAGGCAGAAAACACCCTGTTAAGTACAGGAGGCTTCTGGCCCTTGAGGTGGAACACCAAAAAACCTCAGATTGAGACTCAGAGGCTTCAAGAGTCCCTCTTTAGCGGACCCTGTTTAAACAGAACGAAGCTCTGTAGTGTAACATGGTGGGTTTCAGCACCCCTACATCAGGTTGCTTCGGGGGGGGGAGGGGGGGGGATGATGTCAAAAATCCTGAAATTACACTTTTTTCACCTTTTTCCAGGGCCCCAGTGGCCTAATGGACAAGGCACTGGCCTTCTAAGTCAGGGGTTGTGGGTTCGAGTCCCACCTGGGGTGAGGAGAGGTGGTTCTGTTTTAGGCAAAAAGCCAAATAAGAGAGGAAAGTGCTCTCCGCTCACCCCCAGGGTTTCACAGAGCCCTGCCACTGCCCAGTCCCCTTTGGAAAGGGGGGCTTTGGGGCTCTCCCCTTATACATCCCAGATCAGCATTTACATCTGCAAAGAGCTCAAATCCCCCATCTTCCCCAAAAGAGGCTGCAGGACCACACCAATGCATCCCAGCATCCCTCCCAGGAAACCCTGCCCCAGGCACTGGCCACCTCCCGCCCTGTGCATGCCCTGCCCAGCAAGGTGAGCAAAAATATTAAGTTTTCTCCTGCCTAAAGCTGTTCCGCATGGGATGGGGACGGCTGCCAGCTCCCCCCTCTCCCAGGCAAAGGTGTCTGCAGCTCCGTGTGTGCCCTGGCCTTTACAAGCAAGGAGGATGTCGCTGCTCCAGCCGCATTTCTGACACTGAAAGTCATCACGCAAACATCAACTGGGACAGCACCAACCTCAGGTGGAACCTCCCATGACCAGGAGACCGCACCGCCACCTATCACCCACTGCTCAGGTCCCCTTCCCCTGATTTTACAGCAAGATTTGCAAAATTTTGCTTAAAACAGCTTTGCCAGCGCATGACACCAGGCTTTGGAAGGGCTGAGCGTTGCAGAGGTTAAAGGTTCCCAGGCTGTGCCTGTTTTTACCCCACAACACCCCGCGCTCCAGATGCCTGAGCCAGGGGAGGGCAGGGCTGCAGAAAGGGGTCAATCCCCACTCACGGCAGCGGCAAAACCCCCCCCCACGCCGGGGCACCCCCGGAACCCGCGTGGATCCCGGGAGGGGAAAAGAGTCACCCCAGATGGGACTCGAACCCACAATCCCTGGCTTAGGAGGCCAGTGCCTTATCCATTAGGCCACTGGGGCTGCTACACGTCCCCTTT